CAGATGTTGTATTGAGAGGAGATCAAAGAGGGAGGAAAGGGAAAGACACTAGACAGGTAGGGCAGTGGGTGGAGAAAGGCAATACTGCCCTAGAAAGTGCCATGGGTCTCAAGAGGAAGATACTATCACATCTTGAAAATCCAAGAAATTTCATGGAGTGATGTTTGAGAGTGATCTTTGAAAATTAATGCTGCTACTGCTGTTGATGTTGATGATGACAGTGATTATGATAACTAATATTACTGAGCACATACTATGTTCCAGATACTGGGTTAAGCACTCTTTTTAGTGTTTGCATTATATCAATGCTCATAACAAGCCTTGAGCATAAGGTTAGTGTTTCCATTTTACATTGTAAAATGTATTTGCCCAAGGTCACTTAATAAGTGGTAGAACTAGGATTTGAATCAGTAGGATGAGGTTAAGAGGCTCCAAAAAGATGGGGATATCATGTACAAATGGCCAGAGTTGTTTGGAAAGAATATGTGCTGTGGGGCCTGGCTGAAGCAGAGCCATGTTCAAGGGATGGGAAGTGAGAGGCAAAAACGGTAGGTACTAGATTGTGCAGGACTTGAAGGTCAGAACAAGGACTCTGATTGGCTTCACAAGGCCATGGGGAACCATTGCAGGTATGTTTGAATGAACAGATCTGCCCTTTAGGAAGATTAATTGAATAACCATGCAGAGGATGGATGAGAACAGGGAGAGAGACAGTTAGAGGTTATGTGCAAATCCAGAACCTCTAGGCCTAAACCAAAGCATTAGCAGCAATAGGAAAGAGGAGGGTGAGGATGCTGGGAGCATTGCAAATCTACAGTCTCCGTGTCTACACCCCAGTTGTACTCACCAAGCCCTGGTGTGATTTGCTATGCAGTGTCTACCCTCCCCAAACAACTGAACATTGTAAGATAAAGCACTGGGACGCCCTCATTCTCTTCCATAGTCCTAGCATCCAAAACAGGATGTGGCAGAGTAGATACTCAAAGTATTCAGTATGAGTAAGTGAGTGAATGAACCGATGACTGACTCTGGCATCTTCAGTTAAAGCAATCGGAACAAAGAATGCTGGAGGAAAAAGATGGTTGGGTGGAGGAGGCAAGAATGAGATTGATTTCTGGACAGATTGAATTGGAGATGACACATATAATAACATGCAGTAGGGAGTTAAATGTGCAGGTTTGGGAAAGAAAGATAAAAATCAGTGATAGATGAGACTCCCAGGGAGACAGTGGGAAGAGGAGGTATAGTGGGGAGGAGAAGAAGAGAGTTTGCTTCAAGAATGTCTACATAAAGGAAAGGAAAGAAGCCAGCAAATTTGAGAAAGACTCATCTGAGAAGTAGAGTGAAGATAGCAAGAGCACTGTGTCATAGAATTCAGGAGAAGATGGAAGAAGACTGAAAAAAGTTGGAATGTAGTCATCATTAGCATCTGATGCTATGGAGGGAAGGTGGAGGAGGGCTTTGAAAACACTCCTGCTCTGGCCTTTCGGGAGCTTCTTGGCCACTTTGGTTAGGGCAGCTGGACTGATACAGAATGGCAGATCTCTGTGGACTCACGGAGGGGCAGGGCTTGAGCAGAAGGTGAAGAAGTGGAGACACCAAGTTTAGACCCTTTCATCAAAACATTAGATCAAGGAAAACTCGGGGTTCAAGGAGGGAGTTGGAAAAGGAGGGAATAATTTGGAAAGGAGATTGAAGATGTAAGGAACAGGAACAGATGGATGGACCAAGGAGGAAGGTATAAAGAGAGAAAACCCAGAGCACAAGTAAATGGACTGGCCTCAGCCAGAGGAGGAGACTCTGGGAGTTAGGAGAAGGGAGGTTGCAAGAGCTCACAACAGCTGAAGATTCATCATTTTGGTAACTGCCACAATTTACTGAGCGCTTCATTGCCAAACACATCCTGCAGGTTATTTTTAACCCTTCAAAGTGGTAGTATAATCCTCATTTTTTAATGAAGACCTAATATCCAAGAAATGAGATGAGTTCCTATCACACAATTAGAAATGGAAGACCTTGGGGTCTGAGTCAGTGAGCCTGACCTCAGAGCTGATATCCCTTGGCTGCCACAAGATGTGAGAGGAAAGTTACCTGCTGAGAGGGAGGGGTCAGGAATAGATTGGGCCTTAAAAACTGGAAAGCTGGTTAGGAGAGTCTCAACAGAATAAACAAGAGATTGCCTAATTCAGAGGGCCACACTGGGATTGGGTGGTGGGTTTTGAGGAAGACCCAAGAAGATGGCCCAAGTAATCCCAGAAGGCTAAGTAGCAGCCACCTTGAGCACTAAAGACATAAGCATTGAAAAGACTTAATCCTTGAGTAAACATGCTTTGCAAATTCAGTGTTTGCTGAATGAATGCATGAAAGCAGAGGTTTCTGGAAAAAGAGATGGTTTGATGATGGATGGCATGATGAACTTGAATAGTGCCCTTAAAACACCCAGAGGGAGGTGTCCATGAGGTATCCTTATTCATCACCTATTTCCCTACACACCCATGCACACACACACATACACACCCCTCAGAATGTAATCTGCACGAAGGCAGGTTTTGTAGCTTTTGTTCACTGTTATATCCCCAATGCTTACCATATCAACTGGCACATAGTAGAGGCTCAGCTAATGCTGGTTATGAACAAAAATGGCAATCTAGAGCCCTATAAGAAAGAGGTCTAGGTGCCATCGGTGCCAGTGGTCATTAAAGCCCCCAGAGGGGATGTGTTCTCCCAGAGAAAGGCTAAAAATGAAAAAAAGTGTGGGGGGGGAGAGGTTGAGGTCAGAGTCCTGGGGAAAAAGTTTATATAAGGACAGAAGGAAAAAGAGGAGTCGGTAAAAGAAAAAGAGCAAGGAGGAGGGAAGGGAGGAGCAGTAGGAGATGAAATGGAGAAAGACCTAAGGCACAGAGCCAAGGCAGGGAAGGGTGTGGAGATAGAGAGGAGAGGAGATTGAAGGTACATTGGGGAGGTCAGCAATTTAAATGCAGCAGGAGCGCTCTAGCGGAAGCAAAGGAAAAGGGACTGGAGGATCCTCTGTTCCCAAAGAGAATTGCCAGAGACACACAACAAGTTGGGAATGAGGCTGGAAACAAAGCCCAGGTGTCCTGCCTACCAACTTGAAACATCTCAAATTAGAGTCCTGCATCTTCCACCACCACCTGGTAATTCCTTGAGCTCCATGAAACACTGAGTAAAACTCAAGTGTTCCTGAAATCACTTCATTATTACACTGTTCCTTTCCTGTTCTTACAAATGAAGTCGTTTCTCAAGGCCCTAAAGTCCATCGAAAATATTTTGACTGAGCTGAGCAAACTCCAAACTCAGATTTCTGGGTCAAGGTGGGTTCACTTGCATTTCCTGGAAAGCATATTCCTTTTTTGGCTTAAATGCAGTCCCCATAAATATAGTGTCCGCAGTAGCTAACATTTTATGGGCTCCAGCTACACACCAGGCATTTGATCAGGATTCTCTTTTCTCTTTCAGACATCAGTACAAAGGTAGCCTTAATATTCCTCTATCTTTCAGGGAACAAACTGAAGCTTTCCCAGGGAATCATAGCAGTGTTATAGCTAGGATTCTGAACCAATTGTGTTTGATGGATGCCAAAGTCCCTAGGGATTTGTTTTTTCCTACTGTATCATGATATTCCCTTCCCAAAACAACCTATCAGGTGATTTGATCAAGTAGATAAGCTCTTGGGCCCTCTGGTATGAAAAAACTCCAGTCTGCTAATATGATTTCTCATTCTGAAGGAAATGAGAAAAATCCATCAATGACTAACCAATGACTTTGAACCCAGCCTGGCTATAACATGCAGCCTGGTTTCTCTGCCACCGTTTTCCAGGACTCTTTTTCCTCCTAAGAAACCCTAAAGCCCCCAAGGCTGTGTGAGATAAAAAGACCTTGGGGAACAGACTGGCCTTAATTAATCATAAAACCACATCACACTTTGGATAGCTCATCCATGTCTCCATCCACACCTGAAAAGAGAATTTATTAGCTTTGTCTGTTAAAGAGTCCCTGAAACTGTGGTTAAAATAAAAAAGACTATCTCTGAGTTAGAGCACTGGGGTTCATCTCAGGAATGTGGGGGGTATATGATAAGAAGGAAGCCAAGGGTGAAGCCTTCAAGTCCTTTTCCCACACCGACCCTTGGAATAGTTCCACTTTTACATAATTTGCATATTGCAATTCCCATTAAGATTTTATTTGGAGAAAATCTTTTAAAGCAAAAAGAAAAACAGTAAAAATAATAATAAAAATGAAAGTTGGTGATTTAGGGAGAAGGGAAGAAGGACTAACATTAGCAGAATGCCTACAAGGCCCATGCTAGGTACTTTAAAGGCCCTAAGCCCCAAGAAGATTATAATGTCTCCAATGCCTTCGTGTGTAATTCAAACTAAAAATCAATATTAAGCTACAAAATATAAAAAACTTACATGCATGCTGCAATAAAAAATAACTTTTTTCCATTTGTCTAATTTCCAAAGTCTGGGCATATTCATCCAAGCCAGCTGTCCCCATTTTTCCATGCCCCTCTGATTTGCTGGGGCCATAAGCACATGCTCATTCCATTTTTATGAGTTGATCCAATGGCCTGGGCTGGATTCTCTCCAATCTCCACAGTAACCTGAGAAAGAAAACAGTGCCATTTCTGTCTCACAGACGAGCAAACTGGGGGCTTAAGGAAGCTAAGTAACTTGCTGAATGTCACATAAGGAGACATGAAAATGCACCCTGTACCAAATTCCAAGTTCGTTCCAGTATTCCTGGTTTCAATCAAATTAGAACAACATGGTAAAGATGATGGCTTTAAAATAGAAAGCAGAAGCTTTCTCGGGAAATAGCCCCTTTCCACCTCCTCTCCCTTCCTACCAGGGCATTGCCTTGGCCTAAGACCAGTGGGTGCTCAAGTGTGAACAAGGGTAAAGTTGCCTTGTGTCAAAGTCCACCCGACTGCCTGGGCGGAGGCCTCTCCCATCTGACTCCCAGTTTCTCTCTTGCAGGTTGAAACATCTCCCCAGGCCAGGCCAGGCAAGGGCTCTGCATGCGAATTCAGCCCTTGGCTAGGGCACATTAACCAGAGCCGGCAGCATGGACTTCGTCATGAAACAGGCCCTCGGAGGTGAGCACCGCTTCACCTTCCCTGGCCCACAGCACTCTCCTGACCCGGTCCTGGCCTAAGTGGGAGGGGCCTCAGCTCACTTGGCCCCTCTCTCCTCAACCCTGTCTCCCAATCTACCATGCCTCTTCTCTTCCCACCCCATTACAGGGGCCACCAAGGACATGGGGAAGATGCTGGGGGGAGAGGAGGAAAAGGACCCAGATGCACAGAAGAAGGAGGAGGAGCGGCAGGAGGCGCTGAGGCAGCAGGAGGAAGAGCGCAAGGCCAAACATGCGCGCATGGAGGCTGAGCGTGAGAAGGTCCGGCAGCAGATCCGCGACAAGGTCAGCACCACCTGGAAGGGTAGAGAGGGGCAGAGAGAGCAATAGGGCTCCAACTTCCGGCTCCCCTCAATCCTATGCTTTCACCTTAGACCTTGTTCCTCCCTGAGCCTCACTTTTCTTATCAGAAAAAAATGGGTGTCAAAAAATCGTTATGGAGATTAGATAAGATAATGCACAGAGCAAGTGCGACAGGCCCACAATATCTTATGCAAGACCCTCCGAGTCAAAACTGCATGGAATTGAGAATTTGTAGATATTAGAGAAAATACTATAGGGCCCTGAACACCTGACAGCGTTGTTAGGTAGCACTTCCGGTGAATCTGGGTCTGTGTGCCAAACAGTCCGGTACCTGTCTGGGAGCACCATGCAACAAATCAAGACTGTAAGTAATCTTCCTTGGTTCAAGCTGGGTGTTGTCACCGAAATTTAGCTCCAAACATACAGGAAAACTTTTCAGTGTTTAGATCTTTGGGGATTTCAAAAGAGCAAGAATTTATTATCAGTAGGTCTGAATTATAAAGGAAAGCCCAAGCACAGTCTCTCTTTTATTAATTATCTACACTCTGAAGACCAGGCACAGTCCTACAGAGAAAGCACCCTTAGCCCCACTTTATAGATAAGGAGATTGAGGCTTAGGAGTGCTCATGAGCATGTCAACCTATCTGCATGATCTGGAGATTCAGCTCTCTCCTGTGTCCTGCCCACCTTCTTCATACTCCTTTCTGCCTTTCTTCCCAGTATGGGCTGAAGAAGAAGGAGGAGAAAGAGGCAGAGGAGAAGGCAGCCCTTGAACAGCCCTGTGAGGGGAGCCTGACCCGGCCCAAGAAGGCTATCCCTGCAGGCTGCGGGGATGAGGACGAGGAGGAAGAAGAGAGCATCCTGGACACGGTGCTCAAATACCTGCCTGGACCACTGCAAGACATGTTCAAGAAGTAACCAGCCCTCCTGCCCCATTCCCTCTCCACTTGTTACTTTTTTATTTTATTTTAATTTATTTTGTTCTTTCTTTTCTTTTTATTCAGTTAAGTCTCAGTTCTGAAGGGGAAAACCTCAGTTGGCCTCTGCCCCCCTTCCCTGGCCAGGGGCTCCTCCCCCTCAGCCCTCCCTTACACTCACCTTCATCCCAGGGTAGCCATTCCCATTCCACTCCCAAACAGCTTGGAAAAAAAAAAAAAAGGATTGACAGCTTTTCTCCAGCAGGGGGCGTTGAACCCAGGGCCAAAGGCACTGGGTGGCCCCCTCTGGAAGCCTAAGTTCTATGTTAGTGTGGTAACCCCCATACATTCCTTCGTGCTCCCCACTGCCAGGAGGACCACTGTCCCCAGCCAGCCAAAGTAATGACACATTCCAGCCCTGCCCAGCATGCTGATCTTTGGCTTCTGATACCTCAGTGGGCCACATGGTCAGGGCAGGGGCACTGAGTGGCCTGGCTCTGAGGAAGGGAATCAGGGTAAGCCTGTTCCATAAGGTCCTAGCCTGAGAGGGCTTGGGTCTGGCCAGGCTAGGGTCTGGGCAGGAGGTTGAGACTCTTCTCCCCTCTTCCTGGTGACACCCAGCCCAGGAGCACACCCTTCCCCAAACCCCTCCCGGAGAGGCATGGCCCCTGCCAAGTTGGTCCCTCTAAACAGATCCTCTTTGGACTTCAGCACATCTGTAGAGGAGCCCCAGGGTAGGGCAACCCCTTTTCCCCTCACCCCACTTAGGTCCTGGGACCCCACTGCCAGGTTGGACCCAGCTTGCCCAGCCAAGGGGCTGCCCAGGCCCACAGAAAACACTTGGAGCCATTGGGCAGTGATGGTCTATGCCATGGGACACCCCCCCATTGGTGTGACCAAGCTGCCCCCATTCCTATCCATCCCTCTTTCCCATTTTGTCCTGTCCATGTGCTTCCAGGGCCCCATGGTCCCCAGGAGGACCCTTCCCGGCCAAAGCCCCAAGCCACTGGGGAGAAGCCAATTCCCACTTGACAGAAGGCATCTATCTGTCCATTCATCCTATTGGCCAAGAACAAACTCTTCTCTGGGATGTATGGGACTGGCATTTGTCCCCCAACTACCCCCTCCCAGATGATCAAGGCTTCCCATTCAGTCAGTTGTATGAGAATGGGTTGAGAGAGGAGGGGGGAAAGCAAATGAGGGAGGAAAGTGTGAGTCCATTGTGATACTGCGTGGCTGAGACCGTGTAGCAGCGATTGTGTGTCCGGAGACTTTATGCATATATGTACAGTTAGAGTGAGGTGAGTCTTGAGGATGCGTGTGTGTTAGTTATCAAATCTCTCTTTTAGAGATTGTAGGTTAGGCAGCCTTGTGTATGCGTGCTTGTTTGAGGTGATGTATTTGAGTCACGATTATGTCCTATGTCCTAAGTGTGTGATAACCATCTCATGTGTTTAAGCTTGCATGTGTTAGCTTGAATATGCATGAGTTTTCAAAACGGCATTGTGTGTCCGGAGTGATAGATTCATGGTTGATGTAGAAGTGTGTGTTTGAGAGAAGTGTCAGACGTAGTAAGACTGTTGTGCACGTGTGTAGGAGTCTGAAAAGGCAGTTGTGTGCATGGATGTGTGCTTGGAGAGAAGGAACGTGGGGAAGACGCCCCCTCCAAACCCTGAGACCCTTGGTCACAGAGGGCTACATCCAACAGGAGACCTTGTCCTTGGCCTAGAGTCCTCTCACCCTTGGAGGGTTCCTGTCTGAGGTTCCCAGAATTCCACTGGGACAGACCCAGACAGTGCCCCAGGAAGCCATGCTAGCCCCTTACCAGGGCCTATCCCAAAATCAGGGGCCAGGGAGGGGGCGACTTGCCTGCCCCTGAAGCCCCTGTCCCATTGGCCCCAGTTTGCATTCTGCGGGTTTTCCATTTTAGTGGATTTATGCTTTTATTTCAGAGAGACAGGAGTCTTCTCTGTCCGTTTCCAATAGTTAAAGCCATATCAGTTAGACTGCAATACTTTAAAGATGAGACAAAACAATCCATATGTTTAGGGAACCAGAACAATCCCCTGGTCTGTCCCTTCTCTGGGGAGCAGGGCCTCGGCAGCTCCAGCTCCCTGGACTTTCCATCCACCCCCGCCCCCTCCCCTTGTGCCCCTCTGTGAGTCCCCCCAGGGGACCATTGTCTGTCCGTGCCTGTGTCTGTGATGGGGAGCCACCTCGCACCCCTGTTGTCTGCTTGTCTGTTTGTGTCTTTTACCCAGGCAGGATGGTCATTCTCAAGAGGCCTGGGGTCTCAGACCAGAGACAGACAGGGCCCAGTTCAGGGGCCCCAGACCTCCCTAAATCCTGTGTGAGTCCCACTTGGACATAGGTGTGGATACCAGTGTTGAGAGAGGTCTCCCCCTTGACAGAGACCCTCAGACCTTGACGCTAATGCCAGGGCACAAGGTGATGCAGATGAGCAGGGGACCCAGCCATATAAGATACCCTAGGTGCACCTGAGGGACCCCAGGTCCTCAGATGGTGTCCCTGGTGGTCTCCACAGCCCCTCTGGATCCCCAGGGTGGGCTCAGGGCTTCTCAGCTCCACCTCGGTGCCCTCCAGGCTGGGCTGGCTTAGTCTGGGTGCACCTCCCAGGCTCCTCCATTCTGCTCCCAGGCAGCAGGACTTGAGGTCTTTCTGGAGGCGCAGGGGTCAGGGAGAGAGTTTCTGCCTGGCACGCACCTGGCTCTAGCCACTGCCAAGTGACCACTGTCGGGTCCAGGGGATAGAGTGACTCTCATTTCTGACAAAGATTTGACTGTGGGTAGAAGTCAATGGGTGGCCCAGAAAGGATGTCTGTCCAACCCACTAGTTGGGGGGGGGGGACAAAATGTGCATGGGGTGTTGCAGCAGGGGAAGGGAGGGTCACATAACATACCTGCAATGGGAGATGTGTGTGACCCACTTGATAGAAGGAACATGAGTGTGTCACACAGAAATGGGGCAGTGTAACACACTGAGTGGGGAAGGCCCCAGAATTCAGCACACATACATGACACCCAGGGAGACTAGGGAAGAGCAATCATTGGTAGATGGTCAAAATGGACTGAGGTCAAGGGAGCATGCATGTGCTTGCAGGGAAGGCGACCCAGGCTCCTGTGGTCTGGGATTTACCACCAGGGAGAAGGAAAAGGACTTCTCTGGATCTCCCTAGGCTGAGCTCTAGTGATGGACCAGAATTTCCAAATGTGGATGTCCCCTACTCTGGGTACAAAAGTGCCCGGAATGTGTGTCCTTAACTGCAAAGCTTCACGAGGTGCTCCTTCAAATAGAAGCAGGAAGCCGAGAGGCCACCGAGGTGTATAAGACAAAGAGAAGCATTGCAGCCCAGGACCCTTCATAGGTGGTTCAGCCAGTTGGCAAAGCAGCAGTGGCTAGAGGGACATGGGGAGACTCTCCAGCCCTAAGAGCCCCCAAACACCCAGCTGTCAGGAGTTCCCAGCCCAACAGCCCACCTGTTCCATCCACAGGCTCCTGAATGCACAGGGAGGCTGGGAGTCAGACCGACTCCAATGGGGGATGTCTCCCAGGTCTTAAGACCTTCCTCCCACCAAATGTCCCTGGCTCCAGTCCCCACTCCTGTTGCCCTACCCTCTTCACTGGGGAGAGAATGGGAGGTGCTCATTGCTGGCCCTGGGGTGCAGGTGAGGAGTCCTACTGAGACCCAGGTGAGATGGACCATCCTGCTCACGCGGGGGAACCCCTTTCCTACATTTGTGCTGTGTCCTTGTTGCTCTGCTTCTTTTAAATGTGTCAGTGCCTAGGGGGAGGGGAGGGCCACTCCCTCATGCCCCCTTGAACCTGACCAAAAGCCATGGCTGTTGCTCCCCCCTTTGTATGATGCAAATGCTAAGATGTACAAAACCAACCATGACAAGAAAGAAAAAGACCTTGTACAGCAACAATGTGTCTGTCTATCTGCTCTGTCCATCAGCACCACCAGGATTAAACAGAGGCACTGACTCACCATTGAGGAGAGACAGCCCACAGAGCTCTAGAGGCCCCAGAAAAATCTTCCATTTAACCCATCTTCTGGCAAGGACATGATGGAAATGACTCCAGAAATCAACTGAGACCAGTTGGGGCTGGCCCCAGAGTTCCAGGATCACTCACCACCTTATGGCAACTCTCAACCCCAGAGGCCAGGTGGTCAGGCTGACCCCCATATTCCAACTCTCACCACTCCCCCAAGCTCCTCAGGGTATGTTATTCTGAGAATACCATAAAGTCACAGGTGGGCACAAGTCTATAAATCAGTCATTCCACCAACATTGATGGAGCATCTACTCTCCACTCTCTGCCAGGCCATGGGTAAGAAGCTGGGGACATACAAAGAGGGCTCTACTCAGCATTCCTCCTGGACACAGACGCTTCCCAGGTCTTTTTGAGGAGTCCGGACCAGACCAGAAACCCCCTCCTCTCTTGCATTCCCTCCAGTACCTCACCTGAAATTCTCAGCACTTCCCATTGCCAAGCACGGGGTCTCCCACATCCTGGCTACCCTCTTCCCTCCCACTCATCCTCTCCCCATCTCCCAGCCCCTCCTAGGAGACTTGCCAAAATGCATTCCCTGCACAACACCCTCCTATGCCTTGACATCTTCCTACAGGATAACATCTAAATGGTCAAAATGGTCCTGAGTGATGACCCCAACCTAGGTCAGACCTTCAGCCACCTCGATTTCAAGTGCCCTCAGTCACCACACATACCATGCTGTGTTATGCTTGAATATCCTATCCCCTGTGCCCTGGATGAATGACACCTCCCCTTCCTTGGTATACTCCTCAGACTTCTCAAGATTCAGCTCAAATATCATCTCCTCTATGAGGTCCACTCTGATACAGTTCCTTGTCCCCAGAGCAGAGTCTTACTGTATTTACGTAACACAGAGCATCACAGCTGAGTGTTCTGGGTCACATTCTACCACCAGAACGATGATCTTCAACAAGTCACTTAACCTGAGTGTTTGCTCACAGGTAAATAGTATGAGAACAATTCCTCTGACCTCCATGGCTGTTGTGAGAAGTAAACAGGGCCCTGCATGCACATTCTTATCACTGAGCGTCAAGCATTCTGTGCATGGCTCTTTGCAAATTCCATTATAAGTTGTATCACTGTGCATGTCTCCCTCCCTAACTTAAGAGCTCTATATGGGCAACACATACTTATTATCTCTCAATTTCTGGGTGTTAGGGAGGCTGGGCACAAGTTTAGCTGGGTCCTTTGCTTCAGGTCTCTCAAGAAGCTGCAGTGGCAAGGTGCAGACCAGGATTGGGGTCTCATTGGAAGGTTCAGCTGAGCCTTCCAGACTCATGTGGTTGCTGGCAGGATCCAGTTCCTATTAGACTGGTGGCCAGAGATCATCCTCCATTCCCTGCCATATGGCTCTTCCATTGATACAATTCACAGAATGCTAGCCTGATTTGAGGCATGCAAGCCAAGAAGGCAATAAAGAGTCTGCTAGCAACCTAGAAGCCGCAATGCTACATAACCTAATTGTGGAAGTGATATCCCATTACCTTTGCCATTTCTTGTTGGTTAGAAGAAAGTCACAGGTCCCGCCCACACCTATAGGAAGGCGATTACACAAGAGTGTGAATACCATGGTGTGGGATCACTGAGAGTCTCAGAAGCTGCCTACAAGAGAAACAGCCAAAAGTCTCCCTTCCCTACAAACTGTTAGAGTTGAGCAGGGCCTCAGAGAAGCCACAGTTCCAATCCTCTTCAGCCACAGGGTCCCAAATGATAAAGGAATGGGTCAGCACAGGGGCAGTGGCCAATGGCAGTTTCCCCCAGGACTCCTGCCAAACTAAGGTCATTCTCTGAGCCACTGACTGTCTCCAAGGCCTGTCAAGGCTGAAGACTGGAGAGAAAGACAACAGCCGGGATTTGGGTTTCCCTGTGAGTCCATCTGTGCGTTGCCCAGCACCCCAGACACGACCTCCTGAAACCCAGATCCTTCCTTAGTAAACAACTCCCTCTCCTCTCAGAAACCATTCCCCTCTCCTTTCCACTCAGATCCCAGTGTGCCTGTGCCCTGTGCCCTGTGCCCTGTGTCCTGGTGGGTAAATACCAGCACCCCTGGGTTTTAATCCTGAAATCCTTATTCTAGGAATCTTAAACCTCTCTGTTGAAGAATTACTCACTGAGCTTCTACCACATGCTCAGCACTGTCCTGTGCACCAAGAATACAAATCACCCAGCCCCCTCCATCCCATGCTGGGACACCAGTCAACCGGGTGCTTGGTAAAGGCTCCCTGGAAAAAGGCAACATCTGAGATGAGTCCTCCCTGGAGCAGGAGGGCAATCCAGGCAGAGGGGTTAGCTTAAGCAAAGGCATAAGGGAAACAAAAGTAGTTCAATCTGGGTAGTAGGTTAGAGGGGGAAAGCAAGAGATGTCTGCAGGGACTTACTGAGCTCCCAGAGAGAGACTGAGAGTCTGGGGACATCGAATGGTACACCAAGCGATGGAGCTTGGGCTCTCCCTGAAGGCCATGGGTATTAATAGTGTTAGTGTGAAGGGTATTAATACAAAGGGTATTAAGCAAAGGTGTGACATGATCAGATATGTAGATGGAGCGATTATCAGTTAGGGCTGCAAGGGGAATGAACTAAGAGTAAGAGGAGCTCCAGGGAGAAGCTAGTGCAATGTCAAGTTGGAAATGACCTCTGGAAAAGACAAGGGGATAGGGTGAAGCAGGGATATATGGGAAAGCAAATTGGCTGGATTGGAGGTGGGGAGCATGGAGGAGTGAGGTTCCAGACTAATTCCCATCTCTCTACCTTGGATGATACCATTCTCCAAGGTTTGGAACACAGGCGGAGGACATGAGTTTGAGGCTTCTGGGTTTGAGGCATCTGGGGAGAGTCTGGTGGGGGATCTGTGTTCCCCCCTGGCTCACCCAGGAGAAGCACAAGGCTAACCCCAAATAGAGCAAGGTCTCGGCTATTGGCTTCGCCATAGGACCAAAGCATCTAGAAAATAAGAAACCTGGAGTGGGAAGGGGATTTATCCACCCTCCCATGCAGCCTGAAAATAGCTCCTGTGTCATGTTGGTGGAGGGCACTCTTGGCTTGCATTCCCTCAGTTATCAAAGGCTTATTCTAGTCAGCCTTCATTTTAGTCAGAGACAGCCCTTCTTTATCCTAAACTGAAAGCTGCCAGGAGGCAGGGGGTTAATGAAACCTCCTCCGGCATCTCCCTAATTGACTGCAAAATCCTGCTTCCAGACCACTCACTTAGCACTTGTAATTAATTGGGGTTTCTTGCCTGATCTGAGAGATGATTCAATACCCCCTAAGGACAATGTTTTCTCAGCTGGGATCCTCCAGCTGGAGAGGTCTCTCCACACCCAGTCTCACCATGGGCACCAACCCAGGTATGAATGCAGACTCCAGCTCTCCCTCTCTCCAAATGAGCTCAGGCAGGGCCCTTCGCAGCTTGAAGCATAGAGCTGGCCCATGGTACTGTCTCCGTGGGTGACATCAGAACTGGTGTCAACTCTCCTTGGACTCCAGATCCAGGACATCCACCTTATCCTGGGACAGGCTCCGGGGTCTACAGCTTTTGGCCACATCAGCTCCCTGCTGCTCTCATTGCGGGAGCGCTGGGCATGCCTTGTCTCCATGAGGGTTGAGAGAGCCCATAGTAATACACATGGGGAGGGAAAGAGGGCCAGGGAGCCCCCACTCACCAAGCAACTGTGTATGTCATACTCAAGAGCTAATGGCTTTAAAGTCACCTCATCCTGACAGGGACCTATAAGGTTAGTATTACCCCACTATAGAAACATGGAAACTGAGGCTTGGAACAAGAGGAATACAATGGGAATGAACTTTGACTTTGAACCCAGACAAACCAAGTTTGTATGCTGTTTCCTTCCAATCTTGCACAGATGGCTCAACTGCTGCAGACCTTGATTTCCTTATTTGTTAAAAACTAAGTATAATAAAGTCCAACCCTGCTACTAGTAACATTGAGGAAATTAAATAAGGTCATGTCTAAGGGTCCCCTATCGCAGTCCCTGACATAGAGCATGTACTTAAAAATCGATTGCCACTGCTACTAAATACTACTGCTAATTTGGCAAAACTGGTGAAGGAACATAATAAAAGGAGGAGTGGAAATGAGGGAGAAGAAATTAAAAGGACAAGGAGAAGAATTCATTACAATCATTACAAATTCATTACAAAATCCTCCTGTCATTCAAGCCTGGATTTGAAACAATCTGTCTTGTGTCTTTTCACTGTAACAACAAGACAAGCTGAGAGGAAAGGGTCACAAGAAAGTTAGGGGACAGAGAGAATAACTGTCTCCTTCAGGAAGCTCTCGTGAATCTCTAGCTCAGAAGAAACTTAGCTATGTGTCGTAGTGATTTGTTGCTGCATAACAAATTATCCCTGAAACCTAGTGATGTCAAGCAGTAAACATTTTTTCTCACATTTTCTCTGTGTCAGCAATTCTGAAATGGCTTGACTGGATAGTTCTAGATTGGGATCTCTCATGAAGTTGCTACCAAGATGGCATCCAGAGCTGCAGTGTCATCTGAGATTCTCCTGGGCTGTGGTGGCTCAGCCACTCTGCTGGCAACTGCTGCTAGCAGGAGATTTCCTTTTCAGGAAAGGCTCTTTGTAGAACTTGAATGCCTTCACAATATGGCAGCTAGGTTATTTAAGAGAGCAAGGTGGAAGCCACAGTGTCTTTTGGAACCTATCCTTGGAAGCCATACACCATCACTTCTGCAGTATTCTATTGGTCACCCAGACCAGCTCTGATTTAATATAGGAAACCCTGTGTAGAGCATGAATCCAGAAGGGAAGGTACCTGGGGACTGGGGCTCTCCTGGAGGATGCCTACCTCACAATGCATACCTCAACCTCCTGCAGCTCTTTCTTCAGCCCC